ATGCTTGTAATCTCTATAGTGTGCAGAATTTGTTGTACATACATTTAACTAGTTCGAAAATATATATACACTATTTTGAAAACAAGTGGAGTGCGTGCTGTTCATTTATTTTTGAATTTATCGCCAACAAGTCACAGACACCTACAGTAGAAGAATCCTAAGCCCCAAAACCAACACAGTATATATTTACACTATTAAAAAGTATAAGTAAAAACCTTTAATTGACTATTGGCAAACATAACTTAACATCTGACAGTTTGGAAAGGGCCTCAAAGCTCGAAAGAATACACTTTCCCCATTCTTCTGTGGTGCTTTTCCATAAATAACTTACATACAATTTCATTGTTGATAGCAGTGTCATAATGATTATCTATTAAAGCTAGAGCACTCAGTCTCTCTTTGGTTTGTGTAAACCTCAAGTAATTATTCTTAAACAGTCAGCCAGTATCTAGGGCCTGTCCTGGAGAGGTATATAAAGCTGTCTTGTCTTCCATTGATGAAGTATTCATCAGTTGTTACGAGTTAGCGATTGTTATATTGTTGCGTCATGTCAAGGGTACTTTCTGAATTTTTCTCGTTGTTCTAATTGAGTATTATTGCATCAGAATATCTAGAATTGCGTGCAATGTTCTAGACTTCTGTTGGGGTATAAATACGCGTCGAAGATTATTAGATCTAGACTGCATGATTGTTCCTATAAATAGCGTATCATAGCGATTTTTAAAGTGAAATTATCACAGACTGTATTGTAATAACAGAGCAAAGAATAATAATTTGTCTTTTCAAATTGTGTTCTAAAGTAATTGAACCAGCCTGGATACAACTGTGATAACCAACAGTGTAACGAACATTTGTATATACGTTTGACTTGTTTTAAAATAATATATTGAAAGAAGTGGACTGTGTTGCTGTTTGTTTATTGTTGAAATTTACCGACAACAAGTCATAGACGCCAACTGCAAAGAATCCGGCCTAAAAAACCTAACAGTAGAAATAAGATTTCGGGCTTTCAATTACAAAGTATCAACAGAAGCCAATAAATGCTCATGCTGCGCTAGAAATATATAAACATACTTCTTTTACATCACAAAAATAGGAGTTCAGTCGAACCCCCTTTTATACGTGCGTGAATATCTCTGTTAACTATATCACAGTATATACGTTTTACTTCTATTTAAATACATAAGACTCGTAGCTTCTACTATTAGTTTGCTTACAGTTTTAGTGGAACCAATATTGATTAGACACAGATATAGATTTAAAACACTTTCTTACCAGAGGTCTAAGGTCCGGATGGAATAACACATAACCATTGTTGGTGATTATGAAGGCGTAGCCGTTAACACCAAGCTGGAAATAGATTTTTAGACAACTTAAAATTGGACACAAACTCAAACACTTACTTATTTAAATATTTAATGATTCTTGTTGGATTGCAAGAATGCTTTTATGATCCGTAGACGAAATCTTTTGATTTAATTCTCTTTAAAACGCGAAATCACTAGATAAATATCAACAATTTACAGGTAAAATTAAACAGGGATTGTTCTAAACCATTCTTTAAGATCAGGCTTAAGGACTTGTATTATTTCCCATCGGAACTTCAGAAGGAACTAACAATATAAAATGCTGCAAGTGTTACTAAATCTGTATAATTAACACTTGTGTAATAAATGGTGTATTACATAACACTTGTCTAATAAATGGTTGTAATACACCATTTATTAGACAAGTGTTACTAAATCTGTAATACACCATTTATTACACAAGTGTTACTAAATCTGTAATATACCATTTATTAGACAAGTGTTATTAAATCTGTAATATACCATTTATTAGACAAGTGTTACTAAATCTGTAATATACCATTTATTAGACAAGTGTTACTAAATCTGTAATATACCATTTATTAGACAAGT